ATATATGACATGATCAGTACATACTGGTCTCTACTGACAAAGCAGGAACAACATTGTCTTCGTTTGTAAATCTCATTACTAGTATAAAAATTGTATTTTAGAAGAACTTGGATTTAATTCTACAAGTGGTAATCCAGCTTATACTCATAGTTCCCTTTCTAAGGAAGAAATTCTTCAAAATTATATGTCAGTTTTGAATATTTTTAATTTCCCAAAGAACCAAATATATACATGTATTGGATTCCGAAACTTCATAAAAATCCTTACAAAGATACAAAGCGGGTTCCAGTAAATGTTCAACCAAGCCTCCCTCTTTACTCTTCACTAAGATATCAACAGTAGTGAATGAGAAACTGCAAGAGTACTGTGCAACAATATATTCAAGAAGTGGTGTAAATAAGATGTGGATACTTGAAAATTCCAAGGAACTTTTAGACAATTTGAAATCACAAGATTTTACCAAAATGAACAGCTTAAAAACTTACGACTTTTCAACTTTATACACAACCATTCCCCACGATAAATTAAAGTCCAGACGTTTTGATATTATTGACAGCTGCTTTTTCAATAAAAATTGAAGTCGTAAATTCACTGACCTTGTCATTGGTCATCTGCAAAATTATTTTGTTAAAATACATTCTGATTGAACTACTCTGAAGTTGACATCAAAAAGATGCTTAAGTTTCTGATTGGCTTTTTTATATCATTGATAGCTTCTTTTTTTTCAATAATATGGAACTCGTAAATTTACTTACCTTGTCATTGGTCATTTGCAAAATTATTTTGTTAAAAAACATTCTTATTGTACACAAAAGCATATATACTCTGAATTTGACATCAAAAAGATGCTTGAGAAACTGATATAGACAATATCTTTGTTGTTTTTGGAGACCAGGTCTTCCGACAATCTATTGGAATTCCCATGGGAACCAATTGCGCCCCGTTATAGCAGACCTATTTTTATATTCATATGAAGCAGAATTTGTCCAAAATCTTATGTGTGAAAAGAAAAAAACACTTGCTGTGGCCTTCAATTCGACATTTAGATATACCGACGACGTACTGTCAATTAACAATGGTAATTTACTTTCTTATGTCGATACGATACATTCTTGTGAGCTTGAGATAAAAGAAACCACAGAATCTGACACACCTGTTTCATATTTGGATATTTTACTTGAAAAAGAAGCTCTGTGATAAACGTGATGACTTTAACTTTTCTATCGTCAGCTTCCCTTACTTCTACACATTCATCACCTGCATACGGAATTTATATATCTCATATGCAGTTGATTCGATACGCAAGAACATGATCTACGTATGAACAATATCTAAAACGAGGTAAATTATCAACAAACAAGTTGATGAAACAAGAATATCAGCAGTTTCAATTAAAGTCATCATTTCTTAAAGTTCTATATATTAACAGTTCAAATGCAACATTTAAAAAATCCGTAATGGTTTCATATTTGGCAATTGTTTGTTCGTTAATTTCTTCGATTATAATTTACCATCCTACGATTTTTTTATGTCGAGGTTATAGCACTTGCATGTATTGCATTACTGAAATGCAGCTTCTTTTTCCGTCAAGGAAAAAATATCAAGTCATAAACAAATCCAGCACACATTAATTAAGATGTAGTTATTCATCCAGTCTTCAATAACAGTATCATATAATCAAAATGATGACAGACTCTCTGCTTTTATTTCCAGTTCAACCAAAATAAACAGGGGATGGCGGCGTATTGCGTTACACTGCGGGCTTAGTAATTTCTTGTTTTGGCCATCTTTATGTTGTAGCGATTGCGTGACAAAATGTCGTTCTCACTAATTCATTTGAAATGAAACTGTCGGTAGATTACAATATTATAAGGTGGATATCTTTGTCGAGAATTTAATCACAGTCTGGCTGTTTGTGCAAAAAATAGTACTTTTGTGGAAGAAAACAAGAATCAAGGCATCACTGCGCTAGGATCCAGAAAAAAAAGTGTGTGCACCTGGGTGAAATTAAATTCAGATTCAAATACTTCACCAGATGAAATTCGGGATCGTTTTAACGACTGGAATTTGCCTCATTTCGTCGTTTTTAAATCTTCAATGCACAAATACCGTGTATACTTTTAAAACAAAGCATATAAAAGCAACTGTGTCTTTGGGGTTATTTGTGGAAGATGTCACGTGATGAGCCTTCTTCGAGTTGCAGGTAAGAGGTTTATTGTACATTACAGTTTTGTAGAAAACTAATTTGTTTTGATACGTAATGTTGGTTTTTTTTTTCGAGGACATACTAATTGCAGAAATCTAAATGTAAGTAAAAACTAAAGACTTTATAAGTTCCTAAGAAGTCATATTACAAAATTATCGAGTCTGTCGATTTGTAAGATTTCTCGTTGATCCTGACTCACAAACCATTTGGCTTTCATTCATAAGATTTACTTAAAAAAGATTTAAGTTATTGTCAATCAAGGACCAGAATTTGAGGTTGCTGAATACTAACTATAGATAGCTTTAATCAAGAACATTGTGAAACCTCTGCTGGTTTATAAACTCTTATAAGGAATGGGCTCCAACTTTTAGATAAAAAATACTATAAAATTTATTTTTCTTTGGTTTAATTCTTTTAATGGTGCAGTTAAGTGAATGCACACTATGTGACAGCTAGTACGCTCAAGAATTTGTTTCAAATGTGCCTCTAACATGTGACTCTAAAATAATGTTTTCTTTATATGATCCTACATAATTCTTTATCTATCTTGTAGTTCTCACACAAGAGGATGATTAAATAGTTTCTGGAATATTGCTAAAGCTTTCCTTTCTGCTATCCGTAGTCATACTTAGAGGGGCTTGTCATTGGAGCATTGTAACAGATCGTCTTTCTGAGTCGAATGTTCTTTTAAATTTCATGTCTATTGTTGTTTTGACAGGATCTTCTCTTCTTAATTTTTTGTACTAAATCAAAGTATAACTAAGTACAAAATCATCATTACTTTTTATACAAAAAACAGTACTGGAATTAAGAGTTACTTTCCGAGATTCAGTATATAGTGCGAGACGTCGGAATACATTCTATATATAATGTTTTGTAGAAATTGGCTCGTCTGTAGTGAAATCCGATTTCATGGATACATTGCTACAAGAATGGTTGTCGCCAACCAATGACAACTGGACAGCAAAATGCATTTTTTAAAAGATTAAATGTTAACACTCGATTTGTGTTTCCTATGTGAATTTCAGTTGGCTCTTCTGCTATTTTAATGTTGAATTTACATCCTCTTATTTTCAACTTAAACCAATGGTCCATTTACTGCCAAAGGAGCTAGTCGTTTCCATGGATACATTGAGAATTAAACGTGTTTCATTTTAAAATTAAGGACTGAGGTATTTTTCTGGCTTTGGTTTTATGGGAATCTTGTCCTGAATGTCTGCACTGAACGGTGTATATTACATATATAGGAACAGGTCCGTAGGAAAGAATTTTAATCCGGGGGGGGGGGGACAGCCTTATATTTTCAGTTGGGGCACTATCAACTATCAAAAATTTCTTGACGAGCCAAAAAAAAGGTCATTACATGTTTTTATTAAGGGGTCACAAGCATTTGATAGCTATGTTTTCTATGGTAACCATCATATCGGTATTTGGGGGTGGGGGTTGAGGGCGGGGAAATCAGTGAAAACTGCGATCGGAGACAGCTTTATCCGCAGCATACGGAAAAAAAGGGAAAAAAATAACATGTCACTTCAGCAGTGTAAAATTTACTTGCATTAACTTTTGGACCTTTGAAGTATAAAAGTATTGATGATTAAACGTAAATGTATACAATGGCACCGAAAGGCTAGCACTTTCTCGCAAAGAGCATACCTAAAAATCAAGGCTGCAGACGTCATAGATTTCAATGCAAATTACGTCACTTCCGTTTCGCACAGGACATAACACACCAACAAACACACACTATCACACTATCATGGTCCCCCCAATTGCTTTACAGGGGGATAATGAAGTAATGATTAGATAAAAGTAAAAATATATAAAAGTTTATTAACGATGCATACAAGAAAAAAGTATTTAAACGCAACATTTTATAAAAGTAAAGATGTATTCAAGTAAAAATGCATTAAGTAACAATGTACAAAAGTTACAATGTATAAAGCTTTTAAAGTAAACAAGTAATTACATGTATATGTCAAAACATCATACCAACCCATTTAAAAATGTAAATTAAAAGTAAAGTATTTTCGTTGCTTGCGTAATTATAATCGCTTGATACATGGATTTAATTAGCAAAATACATGTAAATATAAAGTAGCAATGTATGAAATAAATAACCGAATTCATAAAAGTTTAATGATGTTTTTAACTTTCTGTTGGATTCGGGAGACATCGCAGCAGAGATGATAAAGAAACAATGGATGTTTAATCTGGATTAGTAGTTTACTTTTTATATAGGCATATCTTACAAGTTCTTTCGATCTCATGGTATATATATTTTCAAAACGAGTACAATCAAGGTATTGGCAATCCAACAACAATCCCTTTTCAAATCTTGATTTAAAAACAAAAAAAAAGTTTTGCCGTTACTATTTGACAAGGATTTCTTAGACCTCCTTGACAGAAATATGAGGGGTAATTTCTTGTGTTTCATTTAATCCTGAACTCAAATACTTTTACTTTCTCAGCCTTTGCAAATAAAATGGAAACATTGTCGAGATTTTGTGAATCACTGAGTAAATAAAAAGGTGTGAGCCCCTTGTCTTTGATACGGCACGGAATATTTCCATTTATATTGCCACTTGTAACGACAAGGGTATTGTTAGTGAATTTATATATTTGGTCTGGAAATTATTTGTGCATTGACAATATCCCCCCGAATGGAGGCTTTACACCTTAAATGACAGGATTTTCCTTTTTTCCTTACAAGCTCTATTAGGGAGAAAGAGTGAGAGAGGCTATTGAGTAAACTGGAGGGAGGTTATTTGCACGTGGTTGCGCTTTAAAGAATTTTATTTCTACAGCACTTCAAGTATAAGCCGAATTGAACACAATGGCAGCATTATAAAATATTTGGTGAAGTTATATATTAAATTCCGCGCACCTGCCGAGAAAATTATAACTATATTATGACTAAAGCAAATGGTGCGAAATTCGACGGTGGCAAAAATCTGTTCACTTTGTGATTCGTCAAAAACATTGAATTTTTGACGTGTTATTGTGTATGTCAAATGGATATGATTTTTTTCTCTTTTGAGAATCATGCATATAATGAAGAAAACAGCTGAAGAAAAGCTGGGCAAAAGATTCAGATATGTTACTTTGGGTGAATCATTCCAGAGAAAATAAATTGTGAGAAATAAAATGTTTTACTGTTTTGTTGCAAGTTGCAATGAACAGTTGAACACATGTTTGTCATTCTGAGACAGCCAAAGAGATTCAGGTAGGCGGCTTTTTAAGTATTTTCAACTTTTCTGCAAAAATCAGAAGCTTGTTTATTTTTGTTTGTGGTAATTGTGTCAGATAGGGCTACAGTTTATTACAATACCGCCTGATAAAGGTCTGAGTGTGCTGCTAATGTTTTCACTTTATATTGAATGTTATCGCTAAAGGTGTGAAAAATTATTGTAAGCCTTTTGCATTTGTAAGAATAGTAATCCTTACGTCTTAAAACTGAATTGTATACCGTTGTTATTTTCCAACTTGAAGTAATATTTGATAGAGATTGGCGCAAGAGGATTTACATGTACTATTCTTCTTATCCACTAGCGCGAAAGAAACTCAAAATTATCAGCTTAAACATTTGGATTTCGTTGAATAGAAGCTAGCCTCTTCACCCGTACACAGAAAAGGATTACGATGTTACATACTAAAAAAGGTCTGACAAGCAAACACGTGACTCTAATCCGACATTTGAAAAATATTAAATTCCTATAATTCAGTGTGAATGTCAAGTCTGACTCTATGTGATTTTCATATACTTTATATTGTTTATCTCTCCGATTTTTATCAATTTTGTTTTGTTGTGTTGAATTTGTTCATGAAGAATTTATAGTCTTATGGATAAATGTTTATTCCGCTTGATTTTTCTGATATACAGCGCGGACGTCTTGGAACATTAAACGCGGACGTCGTAGAAAAAAGTATTATATAACAAATGATATATATAAATGAAGGGTGCCATCGATCAATTAAAATTGGCGTAAGAGTTAATCAAATAAATTCTACATATTCAAAGCACAAGACAAGAATTATTGCCAAAATAATGTTTCAGTTGATACTCATCACTGGCATCTGTGGCCGGGATGGTAAAGTACAGATTTCCAATTAGTTTTTACTTGGAAGTTTGATCTCGATAAAAAGCGGAAAGGCACGATATCGGTTGGCCATTTTTTTGCTGGAGAGCAGTTCGGCATGTCTGCAGAAGAAATCTGCTAGTTTCGGAAGAGCGTAGCTTGGTGGAATCTGAACCTCTTTGAAAGCATCATTAGCATAGTAAAGTGTTCAACAGATGTTTCAAAAGAGGCTTACATTTTAGGCGTGTTGAGGGAAACATTTGTATCGTGTATAAAGGCATCGCTACATTCCTAAATGCGTGATAACTGAAATAAAAAGTTATAAACTCATTTATGGCTCCTTTTTGATGATATACATCAACTAGATATATATCCGTATCATGTGATGGTTCCGAAAATATTATTCTAGCGTACAGTAGGAGTTTACTTGAATCCTGCATAAAAAAATGTTTTATGTAAAGGGAGCGGATCAAAACAGTATCTTTTTTTTTTAAAGTTATTTTCACTGGGGCACCCATGATTCCAAGCTTAAATCAATCATTCCCCTTTCTGTCCTGACATTTTTCTTTTTAATAAATTGACGAGATATGTCAACGTCATCATATTCAAAATGATATTTTAGTGGCATGTTTGACATTCTACAGCCATGCTTTTCAGAGGTGTTGAGTAATTAGTAAAATAATAATTACAACAATAGTAGAATTAGATTGGTGCATTTTTCCGTTGCAAGGTATCAGGATATCTTTATATTAAAATTTTGATACATTTGCACTATAATAAGGAGTATAATATGTTTTATTTGAAATAAATTGATGGAGTATCGTTGGAAAATCATTTCTGGTGTAGTTTTTTCCTCTTGGGTTGTAGTTTAATTGATACTCTGTTAATATTTATTAATAAATAAGCGTAATAATTATCACTGCGTGAGTCAATCATTAACTGACCGATATACGCAGAAATTAATTAAGCTCAATTAATATCTCAGCATGAGTTAATCGATAATAGGTTAATGAATGTTGAAAGTTAAAAAGCAGGCCGGGTGAGTTTTAGGAGTTATTTCCCTTCCAATACTTTTGTAACTTAGATAAGAAATCGACAATCAAGTTATGGCACAAAATACTTTTCTGCAAAAATTTGATTCCAATCGAGACGCGGATTTATTGGTTCTATAGTTTTATAGTTTCTATGTTGACCCCACTTCTTTTTAGTAAGTAATTCACAATAAACAAATTAAGATGTAATTTAAACACAATTTAATCTATATTAGTAAGAACTATCAGATAAAAAAGAATGATAAAAGTATCTGTAAGTTCTAATATTATTATCAACAAATTATCATTTTTATAAAATGTTTTGTTTGCAAGATTTCATAAACTAAGTATAAAATTAATGAATACATGATCAGTACCTAGCTCCATAAAAATTATGATACTTAAGATTTCAAATAAATTTTAAAAAAAAATCTTTTATCATAATTTATTTATTATTGAAATATTTTTCTTATACTGTTTTATTTGAGAATCTTAGAAATGGCAAAGTGAATGTGTTGAACGCTATGTTTATAATCTACACGGTAAAAAGTTTATTCATAAGCAACACAGTTTAAACCAATGGGATTGTACCTCTTTCATAAAAAGTTTACATTGATTGACAGACCTTTTTAACGCCCCGCCCCCTGACCTATTTCGGCGGAATAATTCGCGAGCATATCAATACTTGGGATCTAACAGAGAAGTCATGTTGAAGAATGTGCCTCAAATTAGTGATAAATTAACACGTGTGTGAATTCAATAATGAAGGAAATATAAATTTATTAATGGAATATGTTTATACCTTCACTTGACATAGGGTTTTGATCATGTGAAACTAAACTAGCGTTGAACTGATGGAGTTTCTTCTTTCACAGAGAGTATCGGAGTGAACGTTCCTCGGCTGGCCGAGTTCCCTCCGTCACGTACGAATGGAAGGAGGGTATGGCCTCGCTGTCCTATCCACCTATGCCCCCTATTTTGAGCTTGGTGGTTATTTTCATATTGGTATACTTAATCGATACAAGTGAGTACATATTTTTAAAAATTCAAGCGATATTTTACATTCCGTTATGGGACCTATATTTCTCGAGAAAGGAGTGTTTTTCCATGATGAAGTTGTACGTTGAAATATTCGTAAATTTAGAAAAGTCGTAGTAAGATAAATATATTTGATTATTTACTAAATGAGTATTCAGATTGAAGATATTTACATTTTATTTCACTGTTTTTTTTTTTATCTAAGTGTTTAATATTGGTTGTTAGGATAATGTCAACATTAGTTATCAGAAATGCATCCCTAATGATTGCTTATATTCTGTCATTGAAATAAAAGGAAATAAACATGTTTTTGATGATTTATTGAAGGTAATGGATGTGGCATGCAATTGTGTCATGAACGCTGGAGGACTGCTCAAAGAGCTGCACATGGAGGTTTGATAAAACCACACAATGGAGAAGAACCCCTGTGTGTAGCCCATAGGACTTACTTGGTGTGTCTAATCACAGAAGAGGTGAACTGCAAAACTAATCTGCACTACCACATGACCAAGGGAGGTGTCATACACAACATGAAAAATTTAAAGTGTAAGGATTACGGTGATACTTTTAACGTAACCACTGTTGTGAATGGCCCTCTTGTGGATCCATGTTTTCCAAATTCAATATGCACATGTACTTTTCGAAGCAAAAATCCCAACACTCCAATAAAATATGAACACTGTGGATTATTTGGTGATCCCCATTTGAGGACGTTCAGGGATGATTTCCAGACTTGTAAAGTGGAGGGTGCCTGGTCACTGGTTCAGAACAAATATATAGTGATTATGGTCACAAACAATCCAGTGAAAGACCATGCAGCAGCAACTGCCACAAGCAAGGTACATATGATTTAATAACTATGAAATGCAATTACTGTATACAGGGAAATTTTCGCCCCCGTTTTATTTTCGCCCCTTTCATCCTTGTTTCAAATGGGCAAATTTAAGATGGAGCAAATTCAAATAACACAGTTACTGTATAACTGTGACTGGGCGAATTCAAAACAGGACAAAACTGTTCACGAGTGTTAAAGGGAAAATAACAAGTGGCGAAAATAACCTGGTATACAGTATTTTGGTGTGATTACTGTAAAATTTATGAAGTTTGAAAGACTAGATATCAAATATGGGAATTTTTAAAAGCATGTTGGAAGAGTTGGAAGTTGGAAATTGGTGGTTTTATTTCTTGAAGGAGTTTCATTGACATTTTTAAAACATTGAAAATGGATGATGGAGCACTGAAAATTTTTCATTATTTGTAATGGACAATAACCCACATACTAACTGTTCCTATAAGTCTTAAATAGAAATAATAAGTTTAATTTAGTGGTACCTACCAGTTTTAGAATCCCAAATGAGCTGAAGTTGACTACAACAGATATTCTTATATATATTGTATGCATCTATATATAATGATTCCTTTAATTTGTCATGAATTGTATGAAATTAAATAGGAATACATAAAATGTTTCAAGGAACCCATTCAAACAAAATGAAGATTTGTTTTTGTGCATGTAAATTTTTATGCACATATTTTATGCTAAGTGAAGTGCTTTTGCTGTCTTGCATCATTCTAAATTTCTTGTACAGGACTTAGGAGTACATTCTTTCGAATGTTTACAAGTTGTCTAAACTTACGTGTGCATGAACATGTATGTTGCAACAAGAGCTTGTAGGTCAGATTGCTTTCTGAAGCAGTAGTTTTCAGCATTAGATTTTAGAAAATGGAAACTGTATCATGTTTTCATAGCCAGACATCTTTTATTTTAAATAATTGTCATGAGTAATCAGTACTTTATTGATGAGGACATTTACATTAAAGGAAGATTTTTAAGGTATATTAGTCGAAGAATATGAAGGTTTGACTTTTCCATTATTTCCCAATCATGGCAAGGAGCACATGGCTGGTTTGACCAGTCATTAGGGGATGCTCACTCCTCCATGGCACCTGATCTTATCTGATCCGTGTTTACTCTGATCAAAAAATGAATTTGTATATGAAATCAAAACGCAAATGTCGTATAATTATGTATGATATTGATAAAGAAATGGTACAGAAGAAGGTAAGGAATATATGAGAAAATGTTCAATGATGAAACAAACTTAACATATCTTATCACAGAAGTCTCAGACTTTGAACAGACATCAATATGAACAAATAATTATGCCAAGCAATAAGCATTTGGGAGATGATCAGTACTGTAAGCAAAAACATCTTTTATTCAAGTGTCTTCTCCAGTTTTGGACAAGTTAATTTCATTTCACATTTTTAAAAATATTAATTAAATCTTTTAGCTCACCTTGGTAAAGTTTTGAGGAGCTTAAATGTTATATAAGTTAATCCAAGTATTGGTATGGATATTACTTTAGCATTGACATCCTTTGAAGTCTATTCCCAAATGTTAAAGCCCTACCAAACCAAACTTCCATGGATGCATACTACTAGTACTAGACATGCTTCAAATACTGGAGCTGACCAACATTTTTTGGATGAGTGACCAGGTTTAAACTTTAGGAGCTGGTCCATTCCAAAGAGACTATAACCACAATCTGGACCAAATTTGCATGGAAGATGCATTTAGGCCTACCTGGTTCAAACTTGCAAATATGATGCAACTAGAAATGTACAGTACACTGCACACTTAATGCTTCAGGCACTGGAGTTAAATTTTTCATGTGAATGAACTTGTCAAGATTAAAAGAGCTGGTCTATTCTAAAGTAACTATAAACTTTATTGAGACTGAACTTGCATTGGTATCATGCTACTCTAGGGATGCACACAAACCAAATGGGTTTCTGGAATCTCGATCTGACCTACATTTACAGGTTTATTGTACAGTAAATTTTTTGGAGCAGCTAGGTTCATTTTCAAGTATTTATAGAAATTACCAGAACTTTAACATTTGTCAAGGTGAGCTTTGTATCTTTTAATGCCTTGGCTTTGTTTTATTTTAATTTTTCATATAATATCCATGATGGTGAACATACACTTGTATGCAACATTTTCTGCAAAAAGAAAAGGTTATTGATGAATAAGCACTGGGACACTAAAAACTTTATGAATGCATGCAAAGAGCTGTTTGCGTTTCAGCACTCCAAATGTTTCGTGTACTCACTGAGAAAAACAATTTAAATTGAAGATGAAGTCCTTGCTCATTGGAACATATACAAATCAAAATGGGCCCCATAAACAGAGCTTTGGTGTTTTCTTCATGTAAACAATAATAGCGTATACAAAGACTTTGTGTAGATCTGGTGTTATATTGGTTAATTAGATTTTTTTTTATCTGGCATTCAAATTCAAGACAAGCATGATTAATAGACTATTACAAAGGCACTCTGGCGTATATCAGATTTGTTTTATGTGCTAATATGCATTTTCTTATTTAGATTTAAATGAAAAAAGAAAACAGGTGTAGGCCACTTCATTAGTCCCAAATTACACACAACAATGTACATACTACATATACATATTCAGTCAAAAACTGCTTAGAGAACTTGGAGTAAAGTAGTTTTCCATTATATTGTTTGCAAAGGACATATTCTTTTGTTATTAAATTCTTAAATTTAAGTAAAAAATAACTTTTAAAACAGACCAAGACAATTCAGGGGAAAATATCTTTTTGATAAGAGAATTCATTTGTTTAAAAGTTTCTATTTGATGTAGAATAATATGCCTGTGATACATGTACATTCTGTTCATAAGTTGTCCATTTTCTGCATCAATTTCTTAATATAAGTTTGAAGTTACTAGAAGCATTAAAAAACTGACTTGGAAAGGAAAAGGGACAAGTATGGCTTGATATAGTTTGGTTCATTTTGCACACTTGTACACTCAGAGGATAAAGACTTGAATTTTTTTTAAAGGTTCTAAAATGTACAGTTGTGTCTATTTGTGGGAAGGGAGCTGGCCTAACTTCATATTTATACATTGATGAAATCAAACAACCAAAACCACCAATTTTGAATATAGACTTCCAAACCAGGCATCTATGTGTGAGATGAGCTTAAAAATAGGTGTAATGAGCATCAAGAATACTGAAAATACTTTTCTAAGTAAATAATGAAAAATGCCTGCAAATGTCAACAAATGCTGTTGCATTTGGGACAGGACAATGCGAGAGAAGTCATGGTAAAGTAGTACGTGGGTGACAAAGCCATTCAGGATATTCACATAAATTAACGTTTCTTCGCCATCTAAATTTTTATTCTAAAGACACTCATTTCCATCTCAAAATGTTAGAGACCACATTTATTCATTTAATGAATAAAAAAGACTGAGTTGCATTAATGCCTTATACCCGTGATTTGCAGGCTTCTGTACTTGTATTCCAAACCATTGAACCTTAAATGTTTTAAAATACATGCAAACAGAGTTAATCACGTTGATTTATTTTCAGAGCACCTGGCTGGCTCATTAACATTGTGTCAAATATGAACAAATTTATGGCCCATTTACTTAGCATATTAATAAAACTCTACGTAAGTTTAAGTACTGAAACAGTGCTGTAAATGGTAGAACTTAGTTCTGAATTCAGAAGTACCACATTTTTGCCATACATGTTGTTATGAAGTAAACACTAGACCAAGACCAAGGGAGAGCCTTTATGAAAATATTATTTTGGAGCTGTGGCCATGTGAGATTAAATGTAGATTTATGTATGGAGGTTTTAAAGTTTGGCCAAGGTTTATTTGCTTGATATTTAAATCAACAGGACTAAGTGACGTATGTAAACTTGTCTTTTGACACCTGCACATAAAAAACACATGAAATACTCTATGTTTTGTCCTAGGTATACGTTCAAAAGATATATGACCATATACATACTCAATAAGTGTTCTTTCCAGTAATATATGTTAATGCATTTGCATAATCTCGACAAGCCCAAAATCATTAAACTTCAAATTTTTCATCTGAGAATTAGATTATACATATATACATGTGTAGACAGAAATATCTTGTTGAATACCTGTGTGCTTTTATAAAACAGGTCAGTGACTCTGCTGTAACTTATTTTGGTATTTGAAAATTAATATGCATATCAAAAGTTAGGATCACAATGATAGTGTTTTGATGCTTATCTTGAATCATTTGGCTGAGGGACCAAAAGGGAGAACTTGCCAAATGATGTGAAGACATGCAATTTATTAGAAATCTTTTTTAAAAACTATAACCATAGTGAATTACAAAAACAAAACATTGTGAATAATTATAAATGGTTGATGTCTTACAAATTTTATGTTTTTGATTAAAATTTTATGCAATCTTTCTGATTTGGGTTGAAATTTTGATGCTGAAAATTGACTTTGATTGGGAACTCGACTTGCTGTGTTTTATCATGTTTATTGCAAAAATTTTGAGTTATGCAAACACACCACATAGAAGAGGAGTCCGGGGGTGGTCCACATTGGCTTTGATTAAGTGAGATTACCATACAAACTTTTGTCTCCTATTAAATGCATATCGACAGCTACCAAGGAATGCAGTGTGCAGCATTGCATTTACCCAAGGTCGAAACACTTCCATTAACTTTTTAAATTGTCAAGCCAAATTTTCACTTCTCTTGCCATAGCGTATTTTAAAGCTAGATAAATGAGTGTCTCTGGTTTCTTTGTCCTGAACATGGTAAAATGCTGGCATGTCTAGATGAATGTTGTGTACTTCTCATGAAGAAAATGTGACAGGTTTGGACGGAGACTTGTTAGAGAGATCAGGAATGTAATGAAAATCTTCAGAGAAACATATATTATAAAGACACAAGGAAATAGCTAGTACCAAGAGTTAAGAACATTTATAGACATTATCTGTGTACTTTTAGAAAATAGACTTTATAAAAGTGCAAGTCAAAGTAATTTAGAAATAAATTTATTTTGAGGACACACATTATTGAAGAATATATTGATATTTATTTTGAAGACACACCATTAAATTATAGAAACCTCTTATTTGTTGAATATATTTATTATTTTATGTTTATGCACATTGATAGTTATGGTGTATTCCAACATGCTTACCCCTATATGTGTTTTGCAATTTTTAGAGGAATTTACATGTATATGAGTGTTATAGTTTTACACGAGGTTTACGTTTTTGATAACTTTGTAACTGTTGATGTTTTCTTTACAGTTGACTGTCGTGATAAAGAAAAATGAAGACTGTGCTTCGCATGATTTTGTAACTTACAAAGCTCACACAAATAACCTGCCAGGAACATTTGAAAATGGCCTATCTGCTGTTGGCCCCGATGAAAGTGTAGCCATTAGGGTGTTGGACCCTGGAAAACATGTACAAATCTATTTAAGGTTCATTGATACAACCATACGGGTGCGACAAATTGGTCGCTATTTCACTTTTGCCATAAAAATGCCACAGGAAATTGTGGAACAGTCACTAGACAATGATACTCAGCAATTATGTGTGCAAGGATGCCCCGAACAGGAGCAAATTAATTATAAAAAATATCTGGCAGAAAAAAGGAGAATTATAGACGGGCATCAAGGGGACATAGCAATGACCAGTGATAAAGCAAGTGAATTGTGTCGGAAGTCACATGTTGTGGATTTTTACTTTGATTCATGTGTATTTGATCTCATGACCACTGGAGATGAAAGTTTTACTGTAGCAGCACAACAGTTGTCAAAAGATTTAACAGATCTTTCACCAGAAATTGTGAAAACTCAGGAAAACCGAACACATTTGGAAGAAATCCATCATTCAAGTGGTTGTAGAGTAAATAGTGACTTTATTCTGTGGACTTGTGCTTTAGCTGTTACTTTATGTTTATTATTTCAACAAAGGACTTCATAACAAAGGTAACATATTCAGACAATGGCAAAACATTCATGTCACTTTCAGTATATCTAGATACTTTTTACCAGGAAGTACTTGCACAATGCTGAAATTGTAAGGAAAATTGATGTATCGAAATTGTAACAAAAGTAAACATAAGGGACAAATGTTGACTTGGGGGGGGGGGGGGGGGGGGGGGGCTAGAGAATTGGAGGTTTAGCAGTTAAGGCCATGCCAATTTCTTTTCCCATGATTTGCATCCACCTAGAACCTAGCAACATATTCGAATATAGAAGAATTGTATTAGCTTAAAAACAAATATAAATACAATGGATATTTTGATTTTTTTAATTCTATTTTTCTGCAGAAAGACAAAATAATTTTGCAATTAAAATGTTGAGCATTAGTTTACTGATTTGGCTAATAACAAAAACATAAATTGAAAGAAAGCTCAAGTCTCTGTAAGAATAAACAGATTTGGGAGTTTTTTATTTTGTGTGTTTTTCTGATCTTGGATGTATAAAACCAAGGTGCTTGACATAGCAAAAAAAAATTGGAATGGCCTAATTGCATCATTAAAAGAAAATAACAGGATATAATTTTCTGCAGTTTTTCTGGATCTGCCATTGCACAGTGCTTTGAATATATATAAATTGCTCTTAGATTGTTGACCTGGAGCACCAGGGACTGCCCACCATTTGATTATGAAACAAAGATGCAACAAATAAAGATGATACTTCTGTAATTTAATATTACAGATCATAATTTTCCTGGCACTTATGAGAAAATTGTTCTTTTCCTTGGAATGATCCAATCAATTTCTTTTTATATCTCATGAAGTTGGCTCTGTAACATTTCCACTTCTCTATGTTGGTGTCAGAATGGAAATGCAAACACATGTAATTCAGCAACAAAGCCATTGATTTTTCTTTTTTCTCTAGTTCAGTGAGAAAACTGGATATATAGTAAGTGACATGAATTTTTTGAAGCTGAGTCTGAATATGAATCATGTATAATTTTTTTGTTATTTGAGGAAACCACCCTTTTTCATGAGAATTAGAGACTTTGTTTGAATTATTGAATTACATATTATGTATATGATACCCATTTATGATTGATGCCAAAAATACAGTATTTTGTTATATGCTGAATTTATAAACAAAACCCACTTTAATTAAAATGTAGTGTCAGGGAATGTATGTAATTGATGAGCTATGGTCACCGTCATAATGGAAGTGGGTATGAATTTTGTGCATGTGTCTTTATGTACAAGGGCGAATGATACAGAGTGTATGAGATACACATTGTGTGAATGATGCATATACATGTGAAAACGGAGATTGAATGGTCTAGCTTCAATGGTTTTGAGTCAATGTATGTTATAAATGTATATAAAAATGCCAACTGCTGACTGCACTGAACAATTGATTATTTGTTATTGAAATTTTCAGTAGATTTAAGTATGTGAAACTTCATAGCTTGACAATTCAGAATATTGAATTCCATACATACACATGTAGGTTGTGTTCAGGCCCTCTTGTGCTTTGTCCCAGTCATGTTTAAATAAGCCCCCATATTGATTTTCTCTTCTAAAATATCTTGGATTTTAAGAACCCCAGCCACAAAGATTTAGTGTTATTAGGTGTAAATTCTAGAGACCAGAGCTATCAAAAGATACCTAAGAAAGCTTTTTAAAACTGTTTGTTGAAATAGAGATCGAGCAACTTGTTTGCAACCTTTAGTCTTGTGTTATCAAGCTTAACACAAACTAAGTATTGCATAATTCAGTCTCACACATTCAAATATTCATAAAATTTTGATTTCTTGTGATAGACTGTTGTTTTTCTTGGTTTTCCTACAGACAATGTATTCTGAATTTTCACCTATTTCTGTTGATTTATCATGAGAGGGCCTGCATCAACTGGAAAATGCAGAGTGAGTTCGTTTAGACTCCTTAACTCTTTCTGTAAAATGACAAAAAAGCAATAAAATTGTTGAGTATTTATATTTTTCTCTTTTCCTGATTGTTTACTCCGTAAGGCTGTTTGGTTCAATTAGAGCATTGCTGAAACAATTTGTCATCCGGTGACCCCATACTGGCCTTGGACACGTGGAGTGTATATACAGGTAGTGCAGGTGTAAAGCCCAAAGCTACATCATTCTTGGTCGCTTTGTCCCCATGCCCAAGTGCTTCTTAGTTTAAATAACTAAAAAAAAAAACGAGCATGGACAACACGTACGTAAATGAAAAATCTAGAATCAACATCATCTGTATTGCGTTACCTCTTCCACAGAATGAATCAGGTTTAACTCTAGTTTACTGGTAACTTGTACATGTTTAACATATATATTTGTTGTTATCAAGGCATCTAAATTACGCATCAGTCTGATTTGCCGATGATAAGAATCGGATGCACGTTTTTGCATTGATAACCACTTGAAAGTGTTTGATCATCCCTGCAGTAAACTCTCACTCAGGTGTATGATAATCAGACATTTTTTTCCTCGCATGTAAAGGACAGCTTTCAAGACGTGACAACAACGATGACATTCCTCGACCTGAATAAGACACAACACATCTTGACAATGGCAAGGGCCATAGAAAATTTTAATTCACTTTAATTTTACCCCATAAAACGTGGTCCGTCGATAAGACTAGCCCAAGTAGAGATCCGCATGACCCTTTGTTCGTACTGAAAAATTCCCAACGTGATTTTCTTTAACCCCCGAAAGCCATAAAATGAAATTCATCTCGCCTTAATGGGCCACCCGGTCTAAATAGGCATACAACCTATACAAGGAACCGAGCTGACGCGATTTGATTTCCATTGTAACTTGAATACATTGGTCAGTGTTCCGTCTAGAGTGGGAGGGGACGAACTTTCATTATTTTCAGACGCCGGGGGATTTTCTCCTGAGAAATGAATTTGAACTTTATTGTGTACAAGGGGCTCCATTGAAAGAAAAATCGGTAGAATAGCATCACGAATAATTACAACAAACGGTAGAAATAAAGTGACGATACCTAGACTACTTGAAAATTTTAATTGGCTTTTTTTCAAATTGAAGGAAGTTTTCTTGAATATCTTTTTGTTTCATTGACATGTTGACCCTTTCATGAGTGGGGACACTCGCTTAGATATTCGCGGTCATACTTTGGCTATTGTGGGATGAAATTTTCACTGCAGCTCAATTTGACCTGTCCCTTTCATCAAAAGAAGTTAGCTTTAGAGGTACAGTGAAGGTTTTTGCCTAGAAAAATTCAAAAACCGATGTTAATAACGTTGTATTTTAATGTAAGTGGAATATTGTAATTAGTTGACTCTTTATGACCGGTATGTAGAACGGATACAATTTTCATGCCTAATAAATGTATTTGTTTATTGGTACATTATGGGATTGCAAGAGTGCATTAATTAGCATTATTGTTCCCCCCTGTTGTATTGTTCAGTGACAGAATTGTCAAACTTTATATTTTTTCACAGAAAAACAACAAAGCAAGTCGATCAATCACAAAATAACCCAGATCTCTGGCATATTTTTAGAGCATAAACCGTATGTAAGTCTAAACAGTTTTTTTAATTGGATGGAATTAGTTCCTCATTCAGTAAACATATAGGTTTGATTTCTAGGAAGGCTGTTGGTAATAAGTTAAAACATATGTATACAAACAACACAAGTTCTGTTTGGTTCAGGGCATTCTACCTAAAGGTTGAACGTTATGGTTGCCGCTTATCAAGTACTTAATCTTGCTCGGGAGATTTGCACACCTGCATCGAAACACTGAATTATCTGCTGGGGCCCTTCAAAGGGAGTGAAAGAGGAGAAATAAGATCTGTGAAATTTGAGCTTAAAATTTATGTTTCAGATAATTGAATTATTCATGTCCAGGTATGAAAAGGCCAAAGTTATATAATGTATGCACGTTCCCGTAGTTTCTGCGTTTAAGTTAGCGCTGTGGAATGGATTTTATGGTCTTGTTGAAAACAAAAAGGTGTCGCTAAGTTTGGCTGAAATTGAAATAAAATCTCTCCACGCCCTTCCTAAATAATGATATCCATTATACGTTTAAACTGCCCCCGTTTCTTTCCATTTCCCCCCTTCGTCAAGTTGTATAGTGGTATATGGTTATTACGGAGTTTCCACGAGATAGAGATATTACCAAGATTTTCCTTTGAGATAAGTGTTTTAGTTTACTAAGTTGCATTATGTGAAAAAGCATTAATGCTATAGTATTGCAGTTAACTGCATTTTAAGTAATCTAAAGACAATAGCATACGACGTTCTAACTCATTTAAGATCAAAAGAAAATCCCAGTTCCTCAAAAGGCCCGCACGGCATCAGTTTCATCTCCAAAAAGTCTTACCCTCTGAGCTGAAATTAAATGTCATCATTGTTTTTCAAAGTTTTATAGCCCAAGCAAAATAAAGACCACGCTGAAAATTATACGGTATCATTCTATCGTGATCTGAGTGCGGGTTTTTCATGACTAAACCATTTTGTGAAAGGGATACACTTTATAAAGGTCCAAAAATTAGCGACCCGCACAAAGATTTTTTTTCTGACTGAATGGGACTCAGACACGTAAACCGTTTGGTATTACCTTTTGACGTGTTGGTTTATGGAAACTAGCTGTTTGATAACATTAACAAAATATATACCTATCCTTTATTTATAATGTTCATTATGCTGTACGAATTTTAATTTAAACCAAAGAAGAATAAAATTTCTCTTTATGAAAGCCTTAGTTTTTCAATTGTTCACTCAAAAAAATATTACATTGTATTCCTAACAGCAAAAATGGAGAAATAGGAAAAACGTTCAGTATAGCATCTTTAAGTTTTTGTTTAAGTTACACTGTACATGTACATATTAATTAACAGATGGGCGTTTTTCTCTTTTGCAATAGAACAGATGGCAAATTACTTGTTGGAATTAAATGAGGCAATTCTCATTTCCTGCTATTATATACTTTGCGTTACGATTTAATTTAGGATTTTTTGTATCGTTTGTTTTAATGGAATGTGTCAGTAGGCTAGTTCAGGCTATCCGAGACAGTTAATAAGGGGGTTGTTTTAAAGTTTTAGATATCAAGTACACGTTCACTGGAAAAACACACAGGAGACTTTGTATAAAACAAATTTTGATAAATTGGTAAAAAATCATTTTACTTGAAAAAAC